CCCCCGGCCCCCCAGGGGCAGTCTGCCAGCTCCCAGGAGCCTGCCAGGGCCCGGAGGGGGCAAGCGCCTTCGTGATCCAGGGTGGAAATCATGGACCTTATTCAGGTTTGGGGGGGGTGCCCCCAATGTCCATGATCTCTGCACTAGACAGAGGAATACAGCTGTCTATGGCAGGATAGCTGCCAGCCTGGCCACCAAAGGCCACATGCGAACCCAGGAGCAGAAAATCAAGTTGGTCTGGCGAGACCCCCAGCCCTGAGCCCTGAGCATCCCCTCCCCCTTCTTCCTCTTGCTTCCCTCTTCCAGCTCCCTCCTCCCAGGTTTCCTCCTCCCCTCTCCCACCCTCTCTTCTCCCCTCTCCTGCCTCCTTTCCCCAGTCTCACCAGAGTTTCATTCCCCCCCCCCCCGTTTTGTTAAATAAAGAGAGTTTGTGTTCATGAAAATTCGTGTATTTTTTTTTACATCAGGAAGGGGGGTTAGGGAGGGGTAAGTGGAAGGACGTAAGGGAGAAATGAGGCACAAGCCCCCAGTGGGGCAGACCAGGGAGGCTCTTAGTGCTCCTCAGGGTGGAAGCTCTCCCGCAGGGCCTCCTGGATACTGATAGCCCCCCAATGGACTTCCTGGATGGCAGCCTGCAGAAAGTGCAGCCAGGCTCACAGCAACGCATCCAAGGGAAGCACCAGAGTGCCCAGGGGCAACTCTGGCTCCATGATGCAGAATGCTGTGGTGTCCCAAGTGAGGGCAACTAGAGCAAGCAGAGACAAAATGCTTTGCTGTCCCTCATCAAGGTAGGCAAGCAAGCAGGGAAACCTAAGAACTAGCTGTCCGGGGGCACTTGAAGCACAGACTTCAGATAGCCTCAGGCAGCTGCCCCATACAGTGAGTCCTGACGTGGTGCCCTGCTGGAACTAGTTCTGGCCAGCCTAAAATGCGTTTCAGAATCCCCACAGTGTGGACGTGCTATTTCAAAATAACAAAATGCTATTTCTAAATGCATTTTGTGTGTAGGCGTGTTATTTTGAAATAAGCTATTTTGAAATAACTATTTCGAAATAACACTGTTGTGTAGACATACCCTTTGATCCTGGAATATCTGTGGTCCTGACAGACCACAGATGTTGCTGGACCAGAGAATTCCAGTTTACAGAGATGCAACCTGTATAAGGTAACTGAAGTAGTGCTTGCAACACCTACAAAGAAAAACTTATACCCAGTTTTGTTTTACCTACCTTAGTTCATTGATGGCACCAGGAAACATCTCATCGTAATTTGTATTATTCTAAAACACATCTCTACATTTACCAAAATACTATATTAATTATTTTAAAGTATTTTATTCCCCCCTTTAAACATTTGTTGTATCTGCTTAGAGATTTGATATGTTCATTCTCTGCAAATAAACAAATTCTTCCCACTCTAATGTTCTATGGGACACAGTAACTAGTTTTATGTAAGCGATCACAAAATTTGCAGAAAAAGACAGCAGTGGTCAGAATGTCCCGTGCTATAACTTGCAGGAGTAATTATTATATGGGCTCTACCTTTCCTTCCAAGTTCAGTTGTTGCATTTCTTGGTCACTGTTTCCTATTCCAATGAAAGCACATGGTTGTGACTCTTGTTCAGAGCAACCATCCCGTTCCATTTGTTCTTTTTTTTTCTTCCATCCACTGCCCATAAGGTACACACATGGAGGAGGGCAAAAAAACCTGAAGACAGACAATTTACAGATGACATACTGCTATAATAAAAATCTTTGCATACAAAACTGAGTCTTGTCTAGGCAAATACAAAGCTTTCCTAGCCAAATTAGCTTTTGATACATAGTCACAAAGACAAGGCTATGTACCTGAACAAAAGCCTTCCCTTCTTACATAAAGGCGAAGACAGGTTAAAGATATGACACCTTACAGAGAGCTTTTAAATAGAGCCCTGGTGGGCACTGGGTCTTAAAATGACACTGAGTGAGCGTTTGTAGACTGTATATATTTTGCACACACACACCCCTCGCTGTCTCTCTCTCTTTCCTGGGGTTCACTGCATTGTATCTTCCTCCAAATTTACAGCATATAATCTGTGACTAACTTGAATGTTGAGGATTTTCTTAAGTGAATCTGTTAATTCATGAATTAAACAAACATGGTTCCTTTAAGCAATTTATTCTGGGAACTTTGTGTTTAGGCTTCACAATTATGAAAAAAACCTTAAAAACATGAACTGTGCTTCTCATCCCCATGTCTATACTGTGCAGCCAAACACCACACCAAACAAGGTTTCTCTGATGAGAGCAGAAAAAGTTGGTGTGCAGTCACTATCGTATGGTTACTGTGGTAGCGGTAAAGTGTGTGCTTGTGGGTAGAGGCACAAAGGGTCCTGGTTGGTGGCTTAACTTTTCACTACCTTGCTTCTGTGGTTTTGTGAAGGGTGTTACATGCGTGTCAATCTTAACTGTTTGACCACACAACTTTTGTGTATGTATACATATTATATTTATAAAAAACAATGTTCTTAAGATATATTTTTGGACCTCTAAAATCTGTATTAGTAGTTCTCTCTACTGAAGGTCTGTAAAGTTGGTGTAATATTAAAAGCTTTAACTGACAGATTAAACAATAAAAAGAAGCCTTTAAAACACACTAAAATATTACTTCAGTATTTATTGCTATATTTATATCCTTTCATCAATGACAAATGAAGACAAGATTTGCTTTCTAACAATGTGTATAAAATTCCGATTTTCTTAAAAAATATTCTAAAATCAGATTTTTACAATCTAAATTAAATACTTTTTTTAAAAAAATCCTTTGTAAAATTAAATTTGACATTATAACAATTATGTTCTATTAAAATAATGTAAATAAATAAAAATAATATGCTGCTCCAGACAGCCCTCAAACTGTAATGACTTGAAAAAGTACTGCTTTCTAAATCATAACCAGAAACAGGGGAAAGTATCTTTACCTTCTGAGGTCAATACAAGTTTTGAAAATGTGTTACAATGTCATGCACTGCATTAAGTATCTATATTATTTTTGGTCTTTACAAATGAACACATGATGGTGTTTATATATTTCTATATGCAAGTATTTCCAATTTATGTTGTACAGAAAAGCTTTTGTCAAAGGACACTAGGAGGCGATAAAGACCAATAGGAAACAAGTCATAATCCATTTTAAAAACAAACTGGCTGCAACAATTCAACTTTCCTTTAAACTAAAACAAGGGCATCAAAATATTGAATTATATTGTAAAACAAAACATAATAAGCTAAGAGTCTGTATAAGTTTTCAAAACTGATTTCCAACTGTCAAATCAAAGAGAGAGAGAGACACAAGTTGGGTGAAGTAATATCTTTCATTGGAGTAACTTCTGTTGATGAAAAGCACGAATTTTTGAGGTTTACAGAGCTATTTACAGGTCGGACCTCTGTGAAGCTCAAAAACATGTCTATTCCAACAAAAGAAGTTGGTACAATAAATTACATTACCTACTACCACATCCATCTTGTGTCTCCTGAGGTATCCATATCCACATCTGAATAAATGAGATGTGGATTTCTGCATCCACATCCATGGATGTGGATACTTGTGGCTATATAATAGATATCTGCAAATTTGAAGGTCTCTAAGTAAAAGCAAAACAATCATTATTAATCCTGCTAAACTGGCTCCCTTATTGGTGACGTCTCGAGGGTTAGCCGCTCTTATTCTTTACCTCTTATGCTACCTGATGGAGGCAAGTATTGTTTTTTCAGTTTCTAATTTTACACTGATAGTCCCATGAACTCCTGTAAAGAAGAGTTCAATTATATTGTGTAAAATGCAGTGAAACTTCAAATTTACGAAGACCTCAATCATGGCAATTGTTCATAACTGAAATATTTGTAACTTTGAACACAAAGTTATGTTTGTTCTTTTAAAAGCTTTCAACAGAACAGTGACTTAATGTAGCTTTGAAAATTAGTAGAAGAAAAGTATGCTGCTTTCCATTTTTTAAATAGCACTGCACTACATTGGTGTTTTGGGGGGGATGGTGGTGGTGGTCTCTGCTGCTGCCTGATTGCATACTTCTGCTTTCAAATGAGTTGTGTGGTTGACTGTTAAGTTTGTAACTCTGGTGTTTTGTAATGCTGTGGTTCCATTATACGTACAGTAAAGTGTGTATGTACACCACTGATGCGGATATTTCTCATTTTGCATGAGACAAAAGAAGCCCCAATCTTAGATTAGTTTAAAATAGCTTAGAGAAAAAGTATTTGGAAGAAATGGATTAGGGTAATAAATGAGAAGTTCTGTTTTGCTGATGGGCTAATTTCAGCGACATATGAAGGAGGAAATAGAAAAAAAAATCCCTTAAACTATTTTTAGTTTGAAATAATTTCCAGAGTTCACAATTAGAAAGAGAGTGGGACTAGGTGCAACGGAAGAAGGAAAACTGCTTTCACTTTCATCTTTAATGTATAGAGTCTTCTAATGTATAGTCCTCTACATTAACCACAAGACCATAAGCTTGTAATAGAGTGTGAGGTGCAAGTTTCCAAAGTAGTAATCTGATCAACAAAAAAAGAAAATATATTAAAAATAACTATTGCTTCTGATTTGCCAGACCTTTGTCAGAACCCTGCCTACGCCTACAAGAGGTACTACTGGAGAGGCATATAGAAGTCCCCTTACCCTCCATTCCCTCATGGGTACCCGTCATTGGTCACTGTTAGAAGACAGGATACTGCACTATATGGACCATTGGTCAGACCAAGTATGGCCATTTTTATGTTCTTATCCATTGGATAGATAAGGCAGTCCATGTCAAATGTTTTCCTCTATGCCATGAGCAGAAGATTGGCAGCTTCTTTTTCAAGTAAGAGATGGAAAAATTCACCTCTCTTATTCCTCTGTGGAGGAGGTATGCCGCTACTTGATTCAGAGGCCACTTGTACACATTTGTCAAGGATCAATTCCTTCTGTTACATTCTTCCCTGCTAAATATATGGTGATCAGAAGCATCTTCTGAGAAGAAGCCCATTTCCAGATTTGTCAAGCTTTGTAACACAAGTTGTAAACCCTGGTCCCTCCCAGCTTTTTGATGTAAAGCATTGTGCCCCTATGGCATGTCTGAACCACGACAATCAGGTCTTTGAAAGTATGTCACATATTCAGAACCACTCATCCGCTGTATACTGAAAGACTCCTATGGTGCTCCTAGAGAAAGACTTAATTCTTGGGTGGGAGTCATTCTTTCTGTATACTCTTCATGTAATGTTGGCAGGATCAGTGACCACTACAATTTGAATGGTTGGCACTAAGTAAGAAAAACCCAGAGGTTGTTTGTCATCCTGAAGAGATCTGAGCTCCCGTATAAGGTTTACTTCAACTATGATCCCATGGTCCATCTCATGATGCATCTGACGAAGTGGGTCTTTGCCCATGAAAGCTTATGCTCCAATACTTCGGTTAGTCTATAAGGTGCCACAGGACTCCTCACTGCTTATGGTCCACTAAGCTGTTCTCATGAGAAGAAAGGCCACGATACTCCTAATTCAGCTGAAGACATCAAAACTCAAATGTATTCATAGTATGATCCAAGCTGTCATCCATGTGATTTGAAACATCCTCTCCATCAGATTGGTCATGAGTTGAATCCTGCAGTAGGAAGAGCAAGCTGATCCATGCCTAACAGATCTCATAGGTACTCCCAATGTCTGCTGGAGAAAAGTAGACACTTTGAATCCTATTGACTCCAAAACCCTAGTGATGACATGGAAAAGTGAACAGACCACTCTTTTGACTCCCTCCAAAGTTGTGTTCTTGACCAGCCAAATACCCAAGTGAGCATACATGTATACTCCCAGCCCCATAGATATGGGTAAACATGGCGCTTCAGTGGTGAAACAACCCTATCTACACTTACTAGGGAAAAATGGGTTTATGCCAATGCTACTGAGTCTTGTCACTCAAGACTCTTGTTCAACTCTGGCTTCTGCTTCAAGGATTTACCTTTTGAAGCACTCTGGCCTAGCTCTGTGCTTGTCTCTCAGAAGTCTTCATAGGTCCCCTTGATGAGGGGTTGGAGAAATATACCATGGCTCAAGGTGATATTTGCATGAAAATATTTCCCCTTGTACCTGGTGGTCGACTTGGAGACAGTCAATGCAGAAGATATGTTTGTCAATTACCCACATTGTTCTAAGCATGAAACCACTCAGCAGTCTTCTTTCCTTCTTAGGGGCTGAAGAAACTGACAACATCCACTGAAGAATACAATGCAACAGGAAAAAAAACATGAAAAATAATTAGGTGCCAGAGTTCTAAAATAGGCATCAGAGCCATGTGGCAAGCCTTGAAACAAGACTAAGCTCTGAATGACAAACCAATTTTAGCAATAACCTGGACCACACTGGAAGGTGGGAACATAGTAAAGCATACTCAACAATGTACTGCAGAGAAAAGTCTGAGCAGTAACTGTGACGTACAGCTCCTGCAAGGAGCTCTTTTACTAATAGTTCAAGAAATTGCTAACTAGAATATTCCAAGCATACTGAACAAACTCAGATCGTAGTATGTGACTGCTAGCAGGGAGGCTAGCTTACATTACCATTAGTGACTGCCTTTTGTGACCAAAAAAACTTCGATAGCTTGTGCAGCTATGTGTGCTCATGCCAGAAAACTGAGAACTGACAGTTGAGGGTATCTTTATAGAAAGGTGGAGGGTATCTTTATAGAAAGATAACTAGCACAAATTTAATCGAGAATCAAAGTCCCCAAAAGAAACCCAGACAACTATACTGCATGCAACATCTGACAACGTAAATAATAATTAATGTATACATGCCATTGACAAATGATTCACCTGCAAATTTCTTCTGTTAAATTTCCTTGCCACTCCAAGGCTATTACAACAGAGAAATATGCTCTCATCTTCAAAGAGCAAAGGACCCGTCTATTATTATTTCCATTACGTTAGCATCTAGAACCCTAATCAAAGATCAATGTTTAGGCAAAGTTCAGACAAGTAACAAAGAAATTCCCAGGTATTTGGAGACCAAGTCTGGAAGTGCCTCTTACTAAGGTTTTTAAACAAAAACACACTATACAACATTTACACATTATATGTTTCCTTTCCACCAAGAACGTCACATTATTGATTAAGCCTCATCAAAACACCTGCAAGGTAATTCTCAATCTCTCTCATTTTACAGATGGATAAACTGTGCAAGGAAAGGTTAAAAGATTCATCCAAGGCCTCACAGCAAACCAAATGCAGAGCTGGGAACAGAAATAAGGAGTTTCTATAGCCTCTATATTACGCTGTCTCTGTGACTTGAAACTTGAATTGAAAAAAGAACCCAATTTCAGAAGCCTGTGAAGTAAAGGTGAATTGTCCTTTATACATCTAAAGTGAGTGAAGATACTTCCTTAATAACATTAGAGTTCAGAACAAAAAACATGAAGTGGGCCTTCCATAAAGCTTATCATGCAATGTAACCTTAGGCAGAATCAGTAATGGTTCAATTAAAAACCTCTCTTTGGAAATGAAAGAAACATGGATAAAACTAATCTCTCATGAACATGGTTATCACTAGAATAAAATAGTCTTAAATCTTTGGTAATTTTTCTCACCCTGGCAATAAGAAAGGAATAAGGCATGTCTCAGTATGAGTGAAGTGAAATGAATCTGACAATCAAGGACCTAATTCTGCATTCATTTGCACAAAGTATCTGGAATCCAAAGATTGAACTACAACTGGCACTTCTGAGCTTTCTGTTGATGCTGGCAGTTCAGTTATATTATTACACTAGGGTCACATCATTTGTGACCCTAGTGTAATATAATATAATGCATCTTCTGAACTGGTTTAAACACTGATTTTACAATTAGAGTAAAAATTAAAATGTTTTATATTTAAACAAAATGGGTGGTTCTAAATATTCAAATTTTTCTTTTAATAAACTAAATCAGTATTAAATCAGTTTGAAAATGATGTTATACTCTTACACAGAACTCTGTAGTCATTTGGTAAATCAATCACTATGATGAGAATTCAAAATAACTGGCAAGAAGAAGAATTTCAGCTATACTAACTAGTGGATGGATCACCATGCACAGAGTGGTGAGGAACAGGATATTTTATTCAATAACTGATTACAGTGCAGTTTCTGAGCCATTAATACTGACCAATACACCCCTGAAAAGTGATGTAAAATTTTTGATACCAGATCATGAAGAGACAGTATCAGCTACCACAAAATAGGAACCCCATAGAAAAGCTCTGGAGTTTTAACATTTGGCATTTTGTATTTACATAGTATTAATATAATTCTGATTGCATCTTATGATTATGGGTTGGCATGAGGATAAGCAATTCTCAGGAGTTGGGAAAGCATATTTATATGCACATCATAATTGTTTTAGCAACATTAATAATATATACTCAATGAAAATCAGCAAGCTACATCAAGATTGCCTGAAGCTATACTCTGTATTTTACCAAAGGAATTGTTTAGGGCAATATTACCTCATCAGAGGCACGCAGGAATATTTGGAAAAAAAAGATCCATCATATTTCTCAGTCATTTTGGGGTAAGTGGGTTTTCCTAAAAAAAATGGTAAGCTTTAATCTTCAAGTAAAATGAGTCCTCCCTTTCTTTACTGCAATCCAAACAGGAAAAGAGTATATATAACTGTAAAAGGGTTAGATGGTGGATGACTCCTACTCCTGAAATACTTTGGGCTCAAGAGAAGAAACAGATTTCTGTCTGTCAAAGGAAAGCTGTTTAAATGTGCCTTTTCCTATTCATAAAAACATACAAAGCTTTTTCAGGGGTTAAATTAATTCAGTACATTGTGTTCCTTTATTAGGATATTTTTAATATAATGCGATCCGAGAAGGTAACCATATGTTTCTGCAGCTCGGTCATGATGTATCTCGATGACTGGAAAATCCTTGTTTGTGCAGCAGAAGGTAACTGAATTGTTACTCTGCCTTGAATTGTAACCCCCTTTCTGTGTCCAAAAATGCTAGAGTAGGGCAGAAAAAAGTACATAGCTGTATCATATACACACAGTACACTTGCTCACTATCCGAGAAGGTAACCATATGTTTCTGCAGCTCGGTCATGATGTATCTCGATGACTGGAAAATCCTTGTTTGTGCAGCAGAAGGTAACTGAATTGTTACTCTGCCTTGAATTGTAACCCCCTTTCTGTGTCCAAAAATGCTAGAGTAGGGCAGAAAAAAGTACATAGCTGTATCATATACACACAGTACACTTGCTCACTTTTGTGTGTCCCCCCCCCCCCCCTCCTCGCGGGTCCCCCCTCTGATGCACAAGAAGAAATGCAAATCTCTAAAGAGATCTAAAAAGACCTTAACGATTCAAAGGAACTGCTGAATCTGGAAACTGCTCAGAAGATAAACTTAGTGAAGACCACAAGCTGTGGAGGTCTTACAGGATTGTAAAAAATGTACTGATGTACAAGTAACAGGGCACAGAAGTATGAAGAACAGGCAACAGTGTGTGAATAAGAGAGGCCCAATGGTAGGAAATAAATCTATTTGTATTAGTGGCATTACATCTTAGAACTCTGCAGGTAATTTTCTGATAAAGTCTGATTTCAAATTTTTGGAGATTGAGATGTTTAATATCTCAAACCTCTGGACAATTTATAAGAAATATGATACAACAGGATGAGGACCAAAGTGGAGAAAGAAAGATTAAGCATCAAAGATAACAGTATATGCAGCATGTATGCTGGTTTGTGGCTGTTGCATATAGGTAACGTACAATATGTCTAAAACCTCATCTGCTCTAGACTAATATTTTTAGCTCAACAACTTAGCCATTGAAATTCATTGTGTACATCTTACAGTAACACTCAGTATGAGACAATTAGTTTTTCCTGATTGATGCTGCAAGTCAGAATTTAAGTACATTGGCAGAACAGTGCCAAAGAACCTATACACAATTTATTCATAAAAACACATTCATTAACAAGTCTTCCCCAAATGCTTCTTCTGCAGTCTCTTGCCTTAAAAAAGCTACCCAAAGTATACTGGAAATACAGTGATCAGAAACTTTGCTGATAGCTGCAGTATAAAAATCTACACATATAGGATCAGATATACGGTATCTTACTACTTACATATCTTTGGCAGGAAGTTGTTATAACAAGACATAATTTATACATTTCAATAATACATCTCAATGCATCTTATTGCAATTACAGACATGTTTCAGGACACTAAGTGCTGTTCTAAATTTGGACCATTTTCTTGTATCTTTATTTAAAATTACTGAAAGAACAAAGTGCTAATGTTCCCATCGCCACCACTTCCTTCACACAAAATACTTCAGACAGACACTTTACCAGGAAAATAGTTTATGTAACAAAAGAGTCTTATTTAGACTTTCTCCTATTTTTTGTAAGGTTAATTTTAACTAGAACTGCAATAAGTTGACCCCCCTTAAAAGAGATTAAAAAAAAAGAGGGTTTGTGCCACTTTTTGTTTTGGTAAAGGTTCTCATTACTTAAAAAAACAAAAACAAAAAACTTCACAAGTAACTGGACAACTAGTTATCTCAAGTGGCATTAACACAGAAACAGCTGCAGCAGATACAACCATGTTACAGGGATGAACAGGAGAAGTGAGGCCCAGGCTAAGGAATGGATATTCCTCTCCCCATAGAAATTAAACCGTGCAGGAGAAGCCCTGCAGAGGACATAAGACCACTATTCAACCTCACCACTCTCCCAACTATGTGAGTTACATAAAATAAAGAAAACGCAGATTGAAGCCAGCCTGAGGACAGAGACATTGCCAGGAGAAACAGATATAGACATGTACTAAAGGCAGCAGTACAAAAACCAGTATTAGACTCGATATACTTCATTAATACATTTCTTTAGAGTCAGACTAAGATGTTTTTAATTTAAGGCAATAATGCTAGAATTAATGGTATAGCAGATAATTAATCTATTTTACCTTGATGGGGATGGGGTAGTGGGGAAGAAAAAGACAGATAGACTCATCCTTACCTTTTTTCATTTCCATATGACTTCTGTGCAACTTTCGCATGGAGGATTAGTACTGTTTGATCACCTCGCTCTTTTAGATAATTTCGCATAGCTTCCCTAAAAATTAAATGTAAAGAGAAAATAAGTTTTGAGAGGATTTTTTTTTAAAATCCTGTAGTTGCAATAATTCAAATAGCACTTTAAGAAAAATTGGTGGAAAGGTGACAAAATAGAGGGATATACCAGACACCTCACAGTACAGAGTTGGATTTGAAGCAGAAGTTTTAAGAAGAGAATTTGAGGTGGAGAATAACTGTATTGAATTTGAACCTTACAACTGTTTGTTATATTTTCAGTGGGTTTTTGTCATCTACCAAAAGTAGCAGCCATTACTGTAAGGCCTGGAGTCATATACTCACAGTTCCATTTAAATTGTATTAAAAAGTGTCACACCAGGCTGTGAGGAAGGGACTTTGCCCTGATAGCTCCCCCACTGTCACCAGATAAAGAAACAGATCTCAAGATGGGTAAAGAAAACTTAAGTAACACCATTCTGTCTGGCAAGAAACTTCTTATCAATAGAGAATGTTGTGGAATCCTCATCCTATGATCATATTCACTACACTTTCCTATTGTTTGAATGTGTGATCTCTGTCTAGTTTGTAACTGTTCTGTCTGCTGTATAATTAATTTTGCTAGGTGTAAATCAATTAAGGTGGTGAGTATGATTGGTTAGGTAATTTTGTTATGATTGGTTAGTAAAATTATACTAAAATAATTGATTACGGTGTAGCTAAGCAAGACTCAGGTTTCATTATATAAACTGGGGTTCAAGAAAGAGAAGATGATGATCAACAGAAGTAACAGAAGGAAGGAAAGGCTGGAAGAGGACCAGGAGGAGGGGGGAAGACCTGGAAAAGAAGAACCCACCTCTGAGACAGAGCCTAGACTGATATAGCCATCCCAACAGGGGAAGTCTGCCTGCCTTTATCAGGATTGGAGAGCACGACACTGTGTGCTTAGCATGTACATTCTGCTTGTTTGGGCATTGTCAATAGAGGATAAGGATATTACTGTGTGAGGCTCTTTCAGTGGCTAAAGAACCTGCAAAACCCGCAGGAAAATGTGCCGTGAGCCCTAGGAATTGGGTACGGGTGGGTGTATAAATTAATAGGGTTGCACCTTGAACCCTAGGAACTGGGTAAAGGTGTGTGTCCGTACAGTGTGGAAGGAACAGAGAAATTTGTGCGGGTAACATTTATTTTCAGTATGTTCATTCACACAAAGAGGGATGTATTTAGGTCTCATTACTATTTACAATATCTTGCTACTCATATTTGTTCAAACACATTTATTTAATCCAATATCTCCTTCCTTAATTTTATCTAAGAGTCATTCTTCCACAGTGATGTACTTGTACAACATACTATGGTCCAGAAACCTTCTTATGCTATTTTGATTATTATAATGATTCAAATAATGAAAGATTTCTTCACAACCGAAGGGGACAGAATATATAGATCTAAATGTATATAGATATCTATCTACAGACAGATGTATTAGTTAAACTTAGATTCTGAAGAAACTGGTTGTTTGGTGCCTCACCTGCTTGAGAAAGCTCACTATTCCCCAAATGCAAATAGGCAAAGTGACTTGTCAAGCTATGTACATATGTTGGTTTTCTAATATTTATCCAGATAGCTACAGCTGTCTTAAAAACAAAGACAATCATCTCTGGCTTATAAAGGACAACATTTTATTTGTCTTCTAAATTACACTAACCTTTCATTAATTACTAATAACCAATTAAAGTTCCCTGGTCCTTATTTTCAAAGGCCTTAAATAGATAAAGGGCAAATGCTGAAAGCTACCTACTGAAACTGACAAAAACAGAGATAAAACTTCAGTGGACATTTTGGTGAAAGGCATCCACCTAAAGGCAGTCACCAAACTTGACCAATATTGATATAGTTCTTTAATGGCACCAAGATATTTGGTGACCCAGAACTTTATTCAACCAATGAAGCAGTATTCTTAGTTGACAAGATCTGTTTCCAGTAGAAGGAGACAAAGAGACCCTATGGCATACAAGTTCATCCAGGAGAATGGAGGACAGACCATAATCTAACTGGATGACAATTCAGCTTAAATGTTTGTTCTTGATACATCAATATCATGGTAACTGGAGTACCAGAAATATGCATATAAGTGGATGATCCACCAATACAGAAATACAGGCCAAATTACAATTTTAAATTTGGATTACCTGATCTTGCTAAACTTGGCTAATAAGTAGTAACATCGATACTATGCTGCCTACAGACATAAAGTTTAGATAATAAAAAACTTTCTCTCAAATATATTTATATAAACACTCAAATGTCTAGTACAAAACACAAAGATTAAGATTTACATATTTCAATACTGACCAAATTCTAAATTTTAGCTTTATTTAACTTAATCATAAACCTATGTTCAAGCTGCAGACAACATTATGCAATACACTCCATAAATATCCACATTCGTCCTGTTAAATAATTTCTCAGATACAGTGGTATAAATATAGTATAGAATGTCCATGTGCTGTCAATTTTAGTGTTTACTAATCACTGCATAAGGAGCAAATTACCTCTGTCCCTTTCTCCTGCTCTAAAGGCTGTATTCCTTCACTGTTGCCATAGTCCTAAACTCCTAAGAACAGAAAGACTATCTTCCTTTCTCTATCACTTATCAGTAATATTCCACAAGAACAAGAATGCTAACACTTATACAGTAAATTCCAACAGTAGATCTCAAAGCACTTTAAAAGAGGTAAGCATCATAACCTACCACCACTATGACTGCATTTTATATATAACTGCAAAAGCAAATAGCACCATACAACAGAAAATGTCAAAAGAAATGTTTATTTCTTCAAGAAAGTTAAGCATTGAAGAGAAAAAAATGTTTCAGCATTGCTGAAGAACATGTATCTGAAATAAAAGTCATTTTCCAACTAGCGACTGAAAATATGTTTTATTTGTCACACAGGACTTTTTATATATAGAGAAAATTTAGTTAAAAGAGCATCTGAATTGTAATTCAATGGTATAGTCTTCATAACATGTCAATATATCATATTCTTTCTTATTCACATATCCTACAGGTTCGACCTCCCTGGTCCAGCACTCTTGGGACAATCTGCCAGAACAGGGGATGTGATCCCTGCCATCAGCCCTGAGCCAGCTCCCCAGCCAGACTGTCTGTCATGCTGTCACCGCCCACCCTCTTGACTCCCGGCTGCCATGGGCAGCTTCCCTGGCTCTACGCTGCCATGGGCTGGCATGCTTCTCTAGTCACCCACCCCCACACTGATACGGGTGGATGAGGTTTTCCAGACTCCACCTCCCATGCTGCAGCGGGCAGCCAAGGTTCCTTCGTCCCAGACTGTCACGGTCTGCCGGGGTTCTACAGCCCTAACTTCTGTGGGGCTCCTCTGGCCCTGCTGCCCTCAGCCCTAGCAGGGCTGCTGGCCCTCCTGCCATTAGGCTCCCAGTCTCTCTGGACCAGGAGCAATGGTGGTGTGATACCGAACCAGAGAATGTTGGATTGTAGAGGTGCAACCTGTGTTATGTATTTAGTATAGGATATCTAATTGAAAGGGAAAAGAGTTATAAAAAAGATTTCCAACTCACCAGTTTCCACCATCTTTGCCCTCCCATACTCACAAGAAATCTATCTTCTGAGATAGGTCTATCACATCCTAAGAGATGCTCTCTCTCTCAGTGTAGGGGTCAAGACTACAAAAGGAGTTGGGAGCATTGTTCCTGTAAGTGGAAGGCTTGGGGAGGCACCCAGGCAAGATTCAAATGCCACCCAGCTGATAAGCAGAGCGTCCATGGTGCCTGCAGCCAGCAGCATGTGTTCCTACTGGTGGTGCACATCCACATATGTTTCAGTGAACATAAAATTTATTCTTCCCATGGATGGAAAATATTAGAGGGGACTTTGGTTAGTAGGACATTCATAAGGTATACAGGAGGGCATTTACAACCACCCACATTTTCTCTGTTTAGATTTTACGAGATGGAAGTTCCCATTTTACTACATTCTCGTGACAAAAAGATTTAGAACCACCATTCTCATACATGAGAAATGGTTTCCAGTATCCCTTTCAACATCCCAGGAAGAAGATATGTTACTAACCACATTGTAATGTTCATAGTGATGTTCATTCGATTTTCCATTTTTAATTAATCCCAGAAAGGTAGATTCTACCAATAATTTCCAAAAGTAATTGCCCTCCAAGGAAGGAGAGGGGATGGATTTCATTATTTTAAACCCAATCTCTTTTTAAAAAATCCAAAAATTGGTATACAGGAGACTCTCATAGAATCATAGAATACTAGGACTGGAAGGAACTTCGAGAGATCATCAAGTCCAGTCCCCTGCACTCATGGCAGGACCAAATACTGTCTAGACCATCCCTGATAGACACTTATCTAACCTACTCTTAAATATCTCTGGAGATGGGGATTCCACAACCTCCCACATGATTTGCTGAATCTCTATTTGCAGTTCTGCATATTTGCAGGGTCTCCTGTCCTGAGCCCAAGAGCTGGTGGGGGAAGGGGGGGTGGCACAGGCCAGGAGCCATAGTGAGTTCCCGCAGCAAGTTCCCTGCAGTTTCTGGTTCCCGCAGCAGCCGTAAGGGGCTCACCAGCAGGGGGTGGGGGCTGTGGCTCCAAGTATTTGAAAATTTCGTCATTCATGCTGGATGCGAGAATGCAACCACCAAGAATGGCCAGGGTTTCCTGTATATAATAACTGCGTAAGTCAAATTATAAAAATAGAAAATTACCTTTTGATATTATTCAAAGCTATTGTGGGCTAAACTCTTATTTGAGTTATAAGTACTTACAGTCTAAATATGAAGCAAGCTGAGCATGAATCTAGAGTATCTCTGGAAATACATTCCTGATTAAATATATCCCAAATCTGACAGGGCACAAAACACATTCTGTATGAGGAATCCTTCTCCCTCACATAAAAGGAAGTAGGACCAGGGTAACAATAGGTGTATTATCCCTCCAAATATTACTGTTCACATACAGAGCTATAAAAAAATATAGGTTTTGTGTACATCAGGCAAATGCAGTGGCCATTAAATAAACATTTGCTTACAATTACCACACAGTATTATCCAATATTACTATTGTTTTCCCCTCTCCACAGAACAATCAGTATTTATAGTTAGTAGCAATTAGAAAATGGTATTTTATGATTTCTACAGTAAATTATTCCAAAACAGAACAGAAATAATTGATATACAATACTTCACAGCTTTCTCACAACCATTTCATGAACAGGTTGGAGTCAGATCTGGAAATGTAGACCTGAACAAATTAATAACCATGATGATGCTCTACATATAATAAACATTCAATTACATAAAAGCCAAGTGATTTCAGCAAAGCATTTTGAATTTCAGATTAAAGATAGAAATAAAAGAAAGACAATCAATGCTTAGAGTATTATTTCTGGTTGATAATTTGTTCAAGTTTTTCATTTTTAGGAAGAGATTTTAAACAAATATTTCAAAATGTACTCTGATTCTCTGCAAAATGATTACTCAACACTGAAAATTAAAGGCTGACAAGCTACAATTTGTTATTTTTTTTTGAAATTATTGAGGGAAACATGTTTAGACAAGATGATAAATTATTTGTTGCTTACCTGGTAAGACGTTTAGGTTGAGGTCGCTCACCAAATTTTCTGTAAATAAACAAGAAGTTAGTATTTTATAACAAACCATTCTGTGATAAATTCTAATATTTCAGTGTAAAAATCTAAGACAGCATTTAAAATATGTGTTGTTGCTGTATATTCATATTTCCTCCATCATTTTTCTTATTTTTTATGCTAACACAAAAAAGTATACCTAATGATACATTTAAAAACAAGTACTGGTAACTCATTTGTTATGATTCACAATGTTTTAAATTAAACATGTTCCATTTCTATTTTTAAAGGTAAACCAACTACTTTACAAAGTTTTTCTGTAACAGTAAAGACATTTCTTATTTAAATAAATGAGAAAAATTACGTTATTAAAATGTTAACAAATGAAAAACAACCCTTTGCTGTGAAGTTGTACTAATGAACCAAAAGCCTGGCAAATAAAAAAATTTGTTATTATCCAGTTAGGGGAAAAAATGTAGTACAACTCCTACATATGTCCCTATTTACTGTGTCTTCTTCAAAGAGTCATACTGCCTCATTTTTCTGAAGTTAACTCTAGAATAAGGATGCGAACACATATCCAAGTACATGATTACATGCACCTCCCTTCCCCACAGAAGCAGAATGGAGGCAGCAGTGCAGGTGGATAGGGTGGGCAGAAGCCCATACCCGCTTTCAAGCCAGCTCCCTGTGCATACTAGCTCCTGCTGAGCCAACTACTTCCCCTCCTCCCCCCCTTGTGCTGCTGCTGCTTTATCTGATACAGAGGTAGCGGGGACAGGGCAACAGGAGCCGGTGCTGGTGCTGCAAGCACCAGATCCCGCTTCCCCACACCCTACGTGTAAACACGTAACCACTGAAAAATTCAGCAGTTACACGTTTACACAAATAGCTACTTTTTAACATCCTTACTTTAAAAGTCCAAGTTTCTTTACTGCATCAAAAATCAGAGATAATCTGCTATTATCACCTACCAAATGTGCCAGTAAGAACAGTTACGATCAACACTAGGACAAAAACATTACTCATATTGTGATCTTCAGTTGCCTGATTCTGAGCTGGCTAATACATTGCACTATAAATACTTCACATTAGGATCCCTTTTCTAAGAAACTGGGTGTTATTCCCCCTCAGTAATTTCATACAGCATGGTTGCCAAATTGTATAAAGTGCAATGATCTAGAAACTCAAGAAAAATGAGATTCTTAGCTAACACATGAATATAGAGAGGGTGATTCAAGATCATCATCTAATCCATTGGCACTGTGGAGTAATACTACTTCATAATTAACTTTGGGCTAAATCTTCCTAAAAATATTTAAGTATGTAAGAAGATTCACACGTGCAGCTATATAGAAACATCCTCTTCTGTAATACAGAGCAAACCAAAAAGAATTGTCAAGAAAATCTGAAAAGACCAGGGTAAGGATTTTGCTCCCTTGCTTCATAACACATTTCTGTTCCTATGTTCAATCTCAAGGAAGTACAATCACAGCTAAAATGAGAACAAGAAACATGTAGCAACTATTTCAACACCCTTCCACCTAAAAATAAATTATATGAGACAGGGAAGTCAGTCATGCAGTGAATACGTAGGCATTACCGGTAAATACAATTCAGAATGGCAATGCTCTTGGTATAGTATATCATAAACAGATACATCTTTCCCTTTATGCTCATGAACAATGATGCAAATACATCTATAATAGTAAAACAACAAAGAGTATGGTAACACTTTAAAGATTAACAAAACATGTAGATGGTATCATGAGCTTTCGTGGGCACCGTCCACTTCTTCAGATGACCAGAGTGTTGTATGTTCAGAACCAAAATAAACAAGGGAGAAGGGGGTAAGGGAGGAAAAAATGGGAGAGGGGAACAAAAGGAAGCAGTGGGTCTATAAATATCAAAGGGAAAACCGAGCTGGTATGTAACAGACAAAACGGATAGTCTATAAGCACCTAAAAACTGGATAGTTAAAAGAAGTAGTTTAGGACCATTAGTTAGCAATTAGAGAGGAAGAGTACTAACACCAGAATCTACACAGACAAAAAACCATTGGCACCTTCATTGTTTGGTTGGTTGATAATGTTCCAGCCATCCGGTATCTTGATTCAAACCACTGGCATGAGAATTAAACTTGTGAATGAATTGTAGTTCCAACCCTTCCCTGTGTATTTGGCTTGTGGAATTGGTCTGTAACAAAACAGCAACTTGAAGATCTCTTAATGAATGACTTGAAGAGATTTTTACAATCAGTTTGTAGCTGCTTTCAATTTATTTCTTGAGAGAAGATTTACCTGGCATTGCGTGTGTCCTTAATTTCTGCTTTTTGGACAATAAAATGAAAATGTGTATCGCTGGTGGTATGGAAGAAGGGTTCGGTCTGCAGACTACCCTGGGGAGAAAGGACTATTTCAGCTGTCTCTCTCAGCTTGGAGACAGGTGAGAAGCACCTCTCCATGGCCACTGCAGAAAGTTCAAGTTTGCCTGCCCACTGTACCCCCATGCTCCCCAGCCAGAGTGAGGAATTCAGCAATCTGTGTACTTTCCCCATTCTCCCTGATAAAGGGAATGTTCCCGTACTAATGTGTTTCAGCTTCATCTGACCTCCCGAAAAAGTGCCTGAGGGTTGGGAGGCTCGAACTAAGGCAGTACTGAGGGGAGGGGGAGAGTTGCCCCCAGCTAGCCCCTTTTACCTGCTTGATGACTCTCTTTTCTGTATAGTTTAATAAGAAACAATCCTATTCCAGGCATATCCCATTTTCCTGACATAACCAAATCCTTACCTTGCTTTAAGGTAGTGGTCACCAACGAGTAGTTCAGGATCTACTGGTAGATCTTGGAGACTCTGACAGGTGACCCTGATGGGTTTGGCAAAGAGGCTATCAAGGGGCTGGCACTTCAGCTGCCCCTCCCCCTACTGCTGGACACCTCCTGCCCTTTGCCTTGGAGCTGCCCTTCCCTCAGGGAGTCTCCTGCTTTCTGTGCAGGACAGGAGAGGGAAAGGAGGGTGCTGATGTCGAAGTGCCCCCTCCCACTCTGTATCCTATCTCCACAGAACAGAGAGGGGACACAACAGAACTTGGGATGGATGCTGCTTTCGGAAGTGGTGCAGGGCAGGGGATAGCCAGCCTTAGCCCCAATGCACCACCACCCAGGAGCCACCAGCAATGCCCAGCTGGCGCCCACACCACAAACTCCTACTCCAGTCATGAACCCCCTCCTGCACTCCAAGCCCCTGCCTGAGCACCCCTGCATCCAAACACCCTCTCAGAGCCTGCATGTAGAACTCCCTCCTATATCCCAACTGCCTGACCCCAGAGCAGCTCAGAGCCCCTCACACTCCAGATCTCTTAATCCAAGATCAGAGCCTAACCCTAACCCAACCCTCTGCCCCAGCCTGATGAAAGTGAGTGAGAATGGGCAAGAGACTGAGGATGGAGGTTTACAAGTGAGGGCCCAAAGGACTAAATTGAGGTCCCAGGCTAGGACAGGAGGCTTGGCAGGTGAGTAAGTGCTCTGTATGCCTCTAAGGAAAAGCTTGGTCATTGACTGAATAAAAACAAATTTGTTATTGATGAAGACCTTAACGGCTACCAGTTCAAAAATGTATTGTAGAATGCCAGACAGAGGCATAGTGGTTTGGTCTAGGCCTTTTTGTTTTGACCACAATGATAATCTTTGGCACTTGTAAAGCTAAGAGCTTCTAGTTGTTATTCTGTGACTGATCAGTAAGATGTATTTGACTTCATCAGTGAATGTTGTTTCTTCTGCGGTGAGCTATTGAGGAACCATGCATAGAGGTGAAGTACCTGCAGGCATGGATGGTGTACTCTCTCACCATCCTATGACAAGAGAGGAGGAAGCAACAGGAGCCGCCATGGTCATTTCTTGGCCATGTGAAGTAGGTAAGTATACCATGTTTGTTTGGGCCACTTCCGGGTGATCAGGATTACTGTGGTTGTGTCCAATCTTATTTTGTTGACCACATGATGGAGAAGCAGAATTGGAAGGAAGGCACATAGGAGCGGTGCATCCCATTGTATTGTGAATGTGTCCCCCAGGAACTGCGTGCCAATGCCCACACGGAAACATTATGGACACTTCTTGTTGGCATTGGTTGCAAAAAAGTCTACCATGGGGAACTCTCACTGACTGAGCAGCGGATGGGTGCTATTAGCCAGGGGGTAGGAATGGTGTCCATGGCCTCTGTTTTTGGAAGGCTGGAGATGGACGGCACGAGACAAATGGCATGGTCATTGTCTTTGGTCCATCCCCTCCAGGGTACCTACTGTTGGCCGCTGTCGGCAGACAGACTGCTGGGCTAGATGGACCTTTGGTCTCACCCAGTACGGCCGTTCTTATGTTCTAAGCTCAGGGTTGGGGGTCTCACTGGACCACCTTGATTTTCATGCAAACCTGCTCCTGGGTATGCATGTGGCCTTTGGTGGCCAGGCTGGCAGCTATCCTACCCTAGACGGCCACTTTCCTGTGCCTAGTGCGGAGGTTGTGGATGAGGTCCACGATCTCCGCACTAGACCAGGCGGGCGCCCACCTCTTGCAGCCCCGGGCAGGCTCCTGGGAGCTGCCAGCCTGGTCCTGGGAAGAGGGGG